CACAAACAAATTTGATGTGTTTAAAAATATATATATATAAATATAAATTATATATTAATTAAGAAATTTGATTGAAAATAAAAGTAATTTAGTCGACAGAAAATAATACAAATAATTAATTTAACTAAAAGCAATTAACAATATTTGTTATAAATTATTAACAACCAAATACCTAAAAATTAATTTAATTGGCATCTTTTCTGGGTTTTTTCTCATTGTTTGTTTTTTGGTTTTTATTACGGCTTCTTGTTTTTCTTTTTAAGATGAGTGATTCATCAACACATTTCGAAGTTTTTCTTTGTTTTTTTTCGGCACAAATAAGTATTTTGGGATCTCTTATTTCTTCTTTATCATAACAATTTTTATCTTCTCTCAATTGATCAATTTCATTAACAAAGTTTACTACCTTTTTAAAAATGGTTTTTCTACGAAGGTTGTGAGTAAGTTCAAACAACTTATTTTTAATATCTTCCTCATTAAGTGCTCCTTTTTCTACAACTATTTTAATTTGATGTTCACAATGAAGCCCATTGTTTATAACAGTAGTATCAGCAAAGTCGTTTTCAGTGAAAAGAGGATAATTACAAGGACCCGTGACATTCTGCCTTCTTTTACCTCTGATATCAACAAAATATCCACTTGGACAAGTCACATCTTGATAATTTCCACCACCCATTTTTCTAAAAAACATCATGTGACAACAAGGAATTCCACTTTTTAAATAAGTAAAACAGTCACACTTACATGCATTACCAACTCCACATTTGCTCATACATACAAATATGTCAAAATTATTCAACAATGTTATTAGTGTTTCTGAAGACAATTTCAACATCAAATCGTTTGGTATCAACATTTTAAATGCATTCATTTGTTCTTCTGACCACACTTGATTATTCGCTTGAAGTTGGTGTGTGTATAACACAAATGATTTTATTGCATCTATAAGTGTAGGAACTTTCCCACGTATTGGTGCTTTTGCATGACTAAAAAAAGCTTCCGCAAGATTGGAGGTGGGGTAAAGGTCTTTGCAGCATTGAGAAGGGAAGTAAGTATTTTTAATATCGAACAGAGTCCTCAGTACATTAAATTTATTAGAACGATGTTTTACATTTTCTTGTGGAAAAAGTTAAGTATAAAGAGCAGTTGAGAGAAAATCAGAATAACATTCTTGATTGTCATTTGGTTCGATTATTAAATTCTTTCTTCCTTTTTATTTTCCAAAGTCATTAACAACATCATTTTTGCCAAGAACAAAGCCTCAGATTTTTCCAAATCAACACAATCAACAAACATCCGATCAAAAAGACTAACAATCTCGTCGTCTTGAGTGAAGTGCTTTTCCAAATTTCGGTGGATATGAAGCCAACAATGTCTGATTTTTGTTTCTTGTCCAAACACAGAGTATATCGCTGCTGATTGTGCTTCTGAACGGTCGCATGAAAAACCAATTGGGATTTTCTTTTCAAAATCCAAGTTTTTCTTGAGTTCTCGAAAAAACTCTTCAAAAGCCAGTTTAGAAGCATCTCTCAAAAAACCAAAAGCCAAAAGCCTTGTGTTGTTATTCTTTTTGAAAACAACAGCAAATAAAGGTTTAGAAAATTTATTGGTACAATGGGTGTCATCAACAACCAAACAGGAATTGTCATATTCGTTCATTGTAACAATATTTAAACAATAACATCCAGTAAAACGTCTTTCACAATCAGTGAAAATTATCGTTGAAAAATCAGAAAGTGACTCAAAATATGTTTTGAGTTGATTAGATTGTTTTATTGTCTGATCTTTATAAGCTATCTTTCTTATGTCATATATAGTCTGTGGTTTGTATGTTAATTCTCTTTTTAATCGAGATGTTGGTGTGCTTATACCATCAACAGCATCCTGGAATATTTGCTCTTTTATTATTTTTGGAATTAAATCATGAACTCCCTTTTTATTGACATTCTCGGGATGATTATTATGGAAAGGATCATAATATATAAATAGACATTTGTTGCAAAATAAAAACAATATGATCCCAGACGTACAAGTTTTTTCTTTGCAACAATAAATTTGTTTGGGTGAATTTGTTCTTGTGTGCCGAGCAGCATATAACTGAAAATTGTATTTTGATGTTGTAGTAAAACAAAATTTTTTAATATCTTCTGTACACAAATTATTATATTTTTTCCCAAGCATCTCAAATAATCCGTTTATTATTTTTTCGTTTATCGATGAAAATCTGTGGGTTTTAGTTAGTGGTGTTTTTCTGATGCATAATATTGGATATTTAATATCATTATAATAATCAAACACAACATTTGGTTGCATTCTTTAATTGACATCATCGAGAGTTCAGATAACAGAGGTTCAACCTTTTGTTTTTGTTCAACACTGATTCCCTTTGCAAACACATCGTTGATATTAGTAGTGTTCATATAAAAATGTTGTTTGAATTTAATGATCAACTTATATTATGGTTTTAATTAATTAATAAATAATTATAATAATTAACTTTTAGAATTTATGTTTTTTTATTTGTGTGAATAAATAAAAAATGATAGTGGCAATTATATTGATCATTATTTTACATAATTTCATTTTTGGGTAAATATAAAAAGTGTATTTATTTATCACATTTTGTAAAAATTGTTTTTTGTGAAACAATAAACTATCAATAAAAACAGAAAAATTTATTATTTTTTTATAAAAAACATTGATATTTTTATATTAATTATTTTTGTTATAAATAATAGTTTGAATATTTTAATGATGTGGATGGTTTGGGTTTAAATCTTATTTATCCTTTCCAAGTCCTCCCTTGGCGCGGATCCCCCCTGACCCCCCCGCAAGCGGGGGGGAACCACATCCGCATCCACACAGTACGGACAAGGAAAGTGGGCGACATGGGGATGCACAAACAGTGGCTGAAAAGTGGACTTCCTTCAAAAAACACTCGCGGCAAATAATTTATTTTGGTAAACGGGGTGGTGGTGGGAAAGGTCTGCCCCGAAATTTTATTAAAAAAATAATTGGAAAAAAAGTTTGTTGGTAAATTCTGTTTTATTTATTGATTGATTCAAAAATAAAAATGAGCGAAATTCCTATTAATAAGTGGTAATCCTAATAATATTACCCACAAAAACAACCAATCAATTTAAAATGTTGTTGGATTGTTTAAACAAAATTGATGTAAATTTAACTGTAAGAACGGGCATATGAGCTACATTTTTATTGTTATTTCTAAAATAAATAACCAATTAATTTATTAAATTATTATTATACCAATTTTAACGCAACAGATAAAAAACAAATCAATTACAGGTTTGGCAACTCAAGAATCAACTGAGAACCACAGCCCACACATACAACATCGTGTACTTTATTGTGGGCCGGTAGGCCAACATCAAACCCTTTCTCGAGCCTTGAAAGGTTTTTATTCATGTCAATCTTAGTTGTTTATATTTGTTCTCAGATCGTTCTTTTATCGCACAAATAACAATTATTATTATATTTTCTATAATTTATTATTATAATTAAACAACAATAATTATGGCAATCACAATTTTTGTCTCGTTTAAAACTATATATTATAAATTAAAACAATTAACATAATTGGTTTTCATTTTATTTAAAAAAAAGGAATTTGTTGTTGTATTTTTATATTTACAATTGAATTGTTTTCAAATGGCATATTTAAAAAGATTAA